TTAGAACACTCTGATTGGTGGGTTTAAGCCAATCAGAGTGCTCTGTGTCATTTTACACAGCGTGGGAGAATTCAAAAGAACTTTCCCACGCTGTGTAAAATGACACAGAGCACTCAATCAGAGTTCTTTTGAATTGAATTTTCCCACGCTGTGTAAAATGACACAGAGCACTCTGATTGGCTTAAACCCACCAATCAGAGTGTTCTAAGCCTAATTGCAGGGCGGGGCAAGGCTTTATAAGCCTTGACCTGCCCTGCGGAGCTCAGTACGTGGCGTGCCCTGGAAGGGCAAACATGGATTGATTTTTTTTTGCGCTCGGTTTATTTTTGTTTGTTTTTTAAAGTGCGACGGGCATGATGGATTTTTATTTGGCCTTTTTGGGGGCTGAAGAAAGAAGATTTTAGAAAAAATTTTAATTTTTTTTTACAGGTTAGTTATTTTATTCCCCCCTCACTATTTTTAGGGTGAGGGGGGTAGGTAGGGGATAGTTTTTTTTTGGGTGGTGGGGGGGGATGACTAGGGGACCCCTAGTCACCTTGATTGGGGGGGGTTTCATTTAGGGCCCCCACCCACCGCTCAGGGGTGGGGGCCGGGGGGGAAGACAGTAGGTCCCCCCCTTATTGTTTTATAAGGGCCCCCACCCACCGCGCAGGGGTGGGGGCCAGGGGGGGAGGACAGTAGGTCCCCCCCTTATTGTTTTATAAGGGCCCCCACCCACCACGCAGGGGTGGGGGCCAGGGGGGGAGGACAGTAGGTCCCCCCTTATTGTTTTATAAGGGCCCCCACCTACCGCGCAGGGGTGGGGGCCGGGGGGGAGGACAGTAGGTCCCCCCCTTATTGTTTTATAAGGGCCCCCATCCACCGCGCAGGGGTGGGGGCTGGGGGGGAGGACAGTAGGTCCCCCCCCCTTATTGTTTTATTAGGGCCCCCACCCACCGCGCTGGGGTGGGGGCCAGGGGGGGAGGACAGTAGGTCCCCCCCCTTATTGTTTTATTAGGGCCCCCACCCACCGCGCAGGGGTGGGGGCCAGGGGGGGAGGACAGTAGGTCCCCCCCCCCTTATTGTTTTATAAGGGCCCCCACCCACCGCTCAGGGGTGGGGGCCGGGGGGGAGGACAGTAGGTCCCCCCCCTCATTATCTTCATTGGGGGCCAGGGGGGGAGGACAGTAGGTCCCCCCCCTTATTGTTTTATTAGGGCCCCCACCCGCCGCTCAGGGTGGGGGAGGGGGGAGGACAATAGGTCCACCCCCCCTTATTGTAATTTATGTAATTTTTTTTCAATAGTGAGCAGCCACGGGCTGCTCACTGTTTAGTAGACATGCCCCTACTCGCGGTATAGCGAGTAGGGGCATTTGGGAGATTTTAATCTCCCTTGTGCTATTATGGGGGTCATATTGACCCCCTTAGAGTGAGAGGGGGACCTGGGGGGGGCTTATGAAGTGGTGGGGAGCACTGCTCCCTGCCGCTTCTATAGTTACATATTACAAGGAGGGAGCTGACAGTGCCGCTTTAACACTAAAGAAAAGACTGGTAGTGAATGTAAGGCAGCTACAACAACCCAGGCAGGAGTACCTCTTATCAGGAAGAAATATGAGGTACTAGAATGAGGAAATTTGGAGTAGCACCTTATGATAGTCTCCGATGGTAAATATATGATATATATAAGAGAAAAAATAAAAAGACAGGGGAAAGTAATATAGTGTAGTATGTTGTATAATCAAAAGTGCAAAAGAAAAAGAGATGCACTTACTGGAAAAGAAGTTGTATCGCTCCTATGGGTTGCGCTTGAGCAATATGATCCCCGCCTAAGGATATTGAGGTACGTCTCTTGATCTCAGCAGAAGGTCTGGGAATATGAATACAAAACAAAGATAGACATTATATAGTGTAGTAAATCATATATTTTTTTCCAATAATAAGTTTTTATTGTTTTTTTTTTTTACAAGAAAAATAACTCACAGCAGTGACAAGCAGACACATATGGGAGAGTGGACTATTGAACACATAGTCTTATTACAATACAGAGATCACTGTATGGCTAACATTAGTAATGAAAAAAAAGATAAATAAAATAAATAAATAATAATAGCATTGAAGGGAGGTGGGAGTTATCATTGACAATAGCGTTTGAAAAATGGTTTGAATTAAATAGGTATATTGCATATAACTTGCTGTTAAGCACAGCAACATCGTTATGTTAGAAAGAATCCTCCCATTCAACAATTGCTTTAAAATAAATAAATAAATTTTGCATTATTATGTTTGCTACACATTTTCCTCAAACCCCAATATGTCCAGCTACCTGTTCCCCCCGACCCTTTTCCCCAATCACTAATCCTAAATTGCCTAAGATGGCATAAAAGTCTTCCCATGGTCCTAAATCCTATCACATGCTTGCATAGCTTCTGTTGCAGAATGTGCCATATTTTATTATTATTTATTATGTTATTGTGTATCAGAACATTAAGTATAGTCTCTATGGTGGGAATTTCTGCGGTTCTCCAGCTTCTGACAAGAGTCTGTTTAGTCGCCAGAAAAGTATGGCAGGCAAGTATTTCTGTGACCTAGACCAGGTGTCTGGGAAAACACATGTGGACGGTGATACAGGAGTCTGAAGTATCCTAGAAAGCAGAATAAAAGCAGAGGTTGAATCTTAGGACAACCCCACCAGACATGGCCATGTGTTTCCGTCACGCCCCACGCTCTCCAGCATAGTGCTGATTGTCTTGGGTCTATATGAGTCAACTGGGCAGGTACTAAGTGCCAACATAGAATAATTTTGTATAATAGTTCCAAGTGTGAAGCATTGTG